TGGACATATGAGTATACAATTTTTTATTCTTTTGGAAAGGTTTTTAAAGGCTTTAGTAGGTTCAATAAAAGAGCACAAAGCATTTTTATATTCACATGGTTTTGTCTACCCAAACGCTGATCTAATTATTTAGGATTGTCATTAAACGTATTTGTGTTTTAATAACAAACAATGAGTCCGATAATGAGGAACTAAATATAAAGCTTCACTCTTGGTTTAAATTCATTATATTATGTATAACAGAATAGTATTATCATCTAAAGCAAGCTGACGTTTTGTCCTCCTCTCTGTCCCGTCATAACGCTGAGTTCGAAGGAATAATACACACATATATAAGCCATCAGAATAACAAAATGGAGGCAAAATTACAATAAATGCATTTTGTAAATAGTTGCATAAAGAATATACCAAGCTTATATTGTAATATAAGCGGAGCAATTATTTAAGGTTGCTCGAAGCAAGTAGAAGATTGAAGTACTAAGTATTTGATCCCTATATTTATGAGAAATATCTGTGAAAATCAAGAGCGAATTAAAAAGTTAAGCTGTGAGTTATCTTTGATTTGTATTCGTTTGGTAGCATGAAAAATAGTATCAGAGTATAGAGCAGCAAAATTGCTCAAACTTTTTTTATTGTTTATAAGTAGGCTTTCGACGCAACTACATCTCATGCATAGTTAAACGTTATCAGAGAAACGTTTTGAGACCTTGCGGTAAATCCTGTAAATATGAGTAATAGTAAGAACATTAATAGAAGCAAAAACGTGTGAGAGAAAATCTGCTTATCTACGAAAAATAAATCAGTAAATAAATCAGCTATAAGTGATTTCCTAGTCGCCTGTGTGTGGGTTAATGAACAAGACAATTTGTGATGATAACATGGATAATTATAACTAAATTAACTTGACTCACTTTGCTCCGTAAGCTCAAATTTCCTTAAAGTATTAAAAAATTTTCGTTTATACTATAAAAATCTAACAGAAACAAAACATTGCATGGTTGTTCTCAAGCTCCTCGTAAGATTATCATGGAAATTTCCCCTGTTTTTATCACTGAACAAATATTTTCATCGAAGTATTAGTATAGTGATTGAGGTCAGAGCTTATCGGTATTGGATTTAGAGCATTGAGCCTTCTCTTTATACATGCTGTCTACCTTACTGACTTCTCACTGAAGGAAATATATATAAGTCGAACTATGGTTGCGCCATATTCGTATTAATAAATGCTTCTATGTCAGAATTTCAAGGTCGACTTCAATTATTAGACGGGAAACTATAATCGATATATGGGTTTGCCGTTTAAGATTTATGATACTTCTAGAGGCGTATGCTTATTGATTTAAGTAGATTGAGATCAATATTTTATGTACGCTTCGCACTGGCGCTAGACCATTTGGTGTTCAGTAGGTAAGTTACTTTCCTGCCCAGTAAACACGCTACCCCTTTAGAGAGGTTAAATCTTAATCGTCGACCTTGAAAATGTCCGCAATAGGAGTTAAAACGGCATTTGGAGTGCTTTTCTGCTTTGAGCAACATGGAATATTTATCCTGGCATCGGATAGGAAAATAGTGTCAACATAACAATAGACATGTATTCCAACTTTTGTCATGCCATATGCACAGTGAAAACTGGCACATTTCAGCTTCGAGGTTCAGGCCTGAAAAGCGTTGGCGAACAAAGCCTTCCTAATACTATAGAAGAGGAGCCTCACATTCGTCCAATTCAATTTTCTTGTAGATTGCAGATCCCAATATCTCAATCGAGCCGAATACAGCCCACTGCGGAGCCCCAAGTGTCGTATTTGCTTTCACACAAAGCCCCATACGTTGTTCATTCCAAAGCGACACATGCAGAATCGTTTCAGCGGCTACTTCATTCGCCCTCGTCTCACTCGCCTGCCAATGAAGCCATTTTTCTAGATAAGCACGAGATCAAGACCAAGGGTCCATTTCCAGAAAGAAGGATAGAGGCGTCCGAATGGCCCCGGAGGGTCCAAAGTTTGGAACATTGCAACGAAGCCTTTTGTGATATCAGCAAGGAAAGCAACGAAGAACAGCTCAAAATAAAAACCATGGGAAAACATGAAACCACTCCAGTTCATGATGGGGATCATATAAAAGGGAAGAAAGTATGAAAATAAGCACATTTTAGTAAAAATAATATCCAAATACTTTTTAGATGTTAATATTGCGGAACAAATTAATTTTTTAAAGACTAGTCCTATTCACATATATGTCGTAAAAATAAGTCAATTAACCCAAGACATACGTCCCTGTAATAAAGTTTAATATATACATATAGTAATTTTCTATAAAAAATGATTCTTAGTTAGTCTATAATTTATAAACTTCTTAAAATAAATTGTATTACTTGAAAGCTCATAAGAGGTCAACACTTTATGGGGAACATTTGGCTCTTGCTTGATGATATGCTACCATTTGGATGAAAACGCTAAAATACATTTCAGTGCGTTAAAACCTGTGATGCAACTAAAGCTAAGTTAATAGTGCTGGAATAGACGAGAATGGGTCAGCTATCATTTGTTGAAACTTGCGGAATTCACATCGTTTGATGAAAGGTAACAGATAAGTATTGCTATTTGAAGCCTATCAAGATGATGCTAATTTAGAGCAATTGGGCAATGTGAGCACGAAGTCAGCACATATAATATTAGAATAATTCGATTGCTGATAGGTTTGGAAACATACGTTACTTAATGTTCACCCAGAATTTTCCTATTTAATTAAAGCAGAAAAATAACTATTACCCTTGATAATTATAATATTGGCAAGCCCTTATCATCGGATAAAATAATGTGTAGGGAGAAATATCAATATCTTTTACTTTATTCTTCAAAAGGTTGTAATCCGAAGCTGGCTTATTCCCATAATATGAAATATTTCCCCTCGCATTTAAATAATATTTAAGAAATTAGACTGACCACTAAAGAAATATAGAAGCAATGAAATAAAGCAATACGAATAATTCTTTAGCTTTATTTAAGAAATGGCTTAATAATTTTAACTCTAGGTTACTTTGCTATACAGATGTAAAATATTTTATTCGTTTTGGGTCTTTTTAGAGAACATAGATAAAACTGAATAGGCTAAATTAGGCATTATTTTCTAATACGAGATGTACTCACCAAATTTCGTTTAAGATGATGAAAAACTGATAGAAGAATTCTCCCACAATGATATGAGCAGAGCTGACGTTTCCATTGAATTTCACATAGCCTTGCTTTCCTAAAAGTTGTTCTAATCCAGGGTGGATGGCAGTTTCGACCTAGCATCGATCTTATCAATACCCCCAGTGGGAGTCCAACTGTTACAGTGCAGAATGGGAGCTTGGCACGTTAACCACTCGGCCACATTGCCACAAGTGCCCTTGGTTCACTGGGCAAATGTGAATTTCAAGGAAGGCCAGGCCTTTTGCCATATCAAATTATTTGGTGAGAGTGTCGATGAAACAAACGTATATTGGCTATAACAATAGACTACGTTACTTTATTTTTTCGCATTTAAGTAT